ATTATACTCCGAGAACCTAATTTTTTACATGTTTACGATTTTTAAATTTACTCTGTTTTAATATGAAGCGTGTTTGGTTAGAAATCCAAAATGGCCAACGAGTGGAAGTGTCCGTGAACAGATGGATGTTCAAATGGATGCGCAAGAACACACCTTATGTTTTTACACCATGATTTTCGTGTTCCTCTCTCTTTCTATTTGCGACTCACGTTTGCGGTTGGCTTCTGTACTCTATGTATACTATCTCTATGATTGTAAGAGAGGAATTTCGATCATAGCGCCGTGCATTGAGGAGTAGTGAAACTTAGATTAGGTTAGGTTAGGTTAGGTTAAGTTAGGTTTGAAGAATATTTTTCTCATTATTCCTTAATCACACCTCAATCATCTAACGACTGAGGTATCGTTATAAGTATGGATTATTCTGACCACGGTCCCAACTCTCGATTTCCGTACCATACTATATTTTTTTTTCCAGAGAATCGTAGAACTTTAAATTTTAGATTTCAGCCATAGTGTGCAATCACTCCTGAGAATCGACACCGAGGTCTATCGATTTTAACAATCGAGACTCGATCGTACTCGGTCGATAAAAGAGGCAAAGAACAGGTGACGACATCGTTGTCATACTCGTGATTTCATAACACGCCATTTTCTTTGTGTGAAGTGCTGTGGCCGAGACGAATTTCACGAGACTGTTTTCTACCTAATTCAAGGTAACAGAATTTCTCACTAGTAATTTATTATATCGTCGACGTTCGTTCACGTATTTGGACGAACGTCATCTAAATTTCTCAGGGCGTTCGTTCAGCCGCGAGTAGTAAATCACCAATTGTCGTGACTCGCGTGTTGACAGGTTTTCAAGCATCGCAGTTCGCACGGATTCTGTTTTACGTCTGCCAGATCCTCCGTACCATGTTTTATTGCATTCTCTGCTCGTATCGACGCTATCTCTTCTACTCCCAGAATAATATTTCTCGAACGTCGTAGACGTTAACCGCCAAAACGCGTATTTAGAACATTTCCGCGCAGTGATTTTTTCCAAGTAATGTACATACGTCATTGCAAGGGGAGTACTTTTCCCATTCACGTCCAATGATTCACTAAAAAAAGTCATCTATCTGTGACATTTGGATTATTGTTCCACGTACGTATCGTTTTACGTTCGCGATTTTACGTTCGCAGTTGCTCCGTGCTAACGGGATACGTATCTACGATCGTAAAATTACTTCGCAACAACCTATTTACTCGCAGTTCATTCGGAGAGAAGTTGCACGACTTTGTTCCATACGCAAAGTCCCAAGTATTTGATTACATATTTATTCAAAGGAACTGAGATACACTTAGTATAAATATCGTACTTGGTAATAATTAATTTTTGCACATCCACCAAATTCATTGTTTGTATATCATCCATATCTACGTTATAGGATACATAATCATTTGATTACACTGGAAGGTTCTGTCTGATTTGTATTTACATATTTTAACGTTATCTTCATGATATATCTATCAAACATAAATCTGTCCTTGGTATCATGATTTCTATCTTGTAACAAATGTATAATTATTTTGTTTTTAGTTCGCAATGGCATCTCGTAAGAAAGTGCTGCTTAAAGTGATTATCCTTGGAGATTCAGGAGTCGGTAAAACTTCTCTCATGAACCAATATGTAAGCAAGAAATTTAGCAATCAATACAAAGCCACCATAGGTGCAGATTTTCTTACCAAAGAAGTAATGGTAGACGATAGGATAGTTACTATGCAGGTAAATATTATACGTCAACCGATGAATAACTTGTACTTTTACTCTCGAACGTTTTAGAATTTATCTCGAATTCTTGTTGTTCTTAAACAGATTTGGGATACAGCTGGCCAAGAAAGGTTTCAGTCTCTAGGCGTTGCATTCTACAGAGGTGCCGATTGCTGTGTACTCGTGTTCGACGTTTCTGCACCAAGTAGCTTCAAATCTTTAGACTCATGGAGAGACGAATTTCTGATCCAAGCCTCTCCTCGAGACCCAGATAATTTCCCGTTCGTTGTACTTGGAAATAAAGTTGATCTGGAGTCCAAAGTGGTAAGATCGTTTGGAACAATGAACAGGATAAGATAATTTCGATAGATACGAGATCTTATCGGAGTCTAATAAATTTCAGGTTTCTAGTAAGAGAGCGCAACAATGGTGTCAATCTAAAAATAATATTCCATATTTCGAAACTAGTGCTAAAGAAGCCATTAACGTTGAGCAAGCCTTCCAAACGATAGCGAAGAACGCTTTAGCTCAAGAAAGCGAGGTACGTTTCTAGCATTTCTCTTTTTATATCTATTCATTTATATTTAGCTTTAATCGCAACGTGCATAATGATACGTCGATGTTATCGATCTAGGTGGAATTATATAACGAATTCCCGGACCAAATTAAACTCACTAACGACCAAAGAACCAACGGCAAGGGTGATTCTTGTGCCTGCTAGGTCTTGGAGTGGTGGACGTTTTGGACAAGCACATAGATGCACAGGTCATATCGTACGTTCGCGTACCTGCGCATTTTTCAAAAATACCACGTCGAGCTCGGTGCGAAGTTCTAAGTATGCCCCTTGGTTCTTTAAACGAATTTCACTCGAACTAATTTTAAGGCATGTTTATTCATTTTTATTCGATTTGTGTGAAACTCTCAGATAGACGTACATGTACATATAAAAATGGATTTTAAACGATACATTCTTTTTTTCTACCAAGGAGCATCCGCTTAACTTCCTCGCATAAGAGATTTTATCGTATTTTGTAATCGTGTGTCCGCGCTCTGCTCGGCTCTCTGGACGAGCGTCCGGATGGTCGGGCGATACGTTCAACAAAGTGGTTTTCGAGAACTGCGATGCTCTCTCATTGGTATGGCGAACAGTATGAGCTGCCCTTTTTAATTGCATCTTTACAACTCATTGTTAATGTCCCTCGTGGCTGAGCGATGCTCGCATAGACACGAACAACCGATTATGTCGGGAGGAAGATTTCATGGGTCGGGAACACACTTAGCGTAACAATTAGAGTCATCGCGGAGTTGCTCATAAATTCATTAAGTACAATCGCATTTATCGAGAAGCTCTAGAAAACTGATACGTCGGTTAGACACGCGTCCTCTCGGACGTAGCTTCTTACAAACGATACATGGGTAACTTTATAAATGGAATTTTTGTTTCATTGAAATTTTACGGTCATTCTACTACCTCTGGATTTGTTTGATAATACAGCAAACCTTAAGTATCGTGCGGTACATCTAGCTCGGGTAGCCGCGACTTTCCCCGGAACAGTTATGCATACTATTCGCGCAAATTCGAACGGTAAAATTTGTTTAACGAGATGATAACGACGTAACGTGTTTGCGTCTCCGTCGGAACAGGATTAGGTTAGGTTGATACTTGGCGTCTCTGTCTGAAAAGGCTAGTCCGTCTTCGAGGAAAAGATATTCCCTTATAGCTAGACAATCGGATAATTTCTTATTTGGTCATACGATATTACGTTAATAGTACTGTCAAAATTCTCCCCAAAGTGAAAGTCTCGAGCCGCGATGGAATAATCTTACTACCTTTCCACGATGTAAGATACATTTATTCTCTGCTGATTATCATATGAAATTCGCGGTTTTTGCATTGAACATATCATGCAATCTATAGAGGCTGTTCGGTGAATTAAATCTTGTTATTTCGTATGTCACGGGATGCATAATAATTTGCAAGATCGTTGGATGCGATGGTTTTTATATAGCAATTTATTATACCGTATCGAAGCGTGAAAGGAATGAAAGGATTTATGAAGATAGATCTGTTTGCAATAACGAAGTACGCGGTGCTGACGATCACTTCCGAAAAGAAAAAAGAAAAAAACGATGTTTCTCATTTTAAATCTAAGCCACGATCCTGGAGATATAATAAATGTGGAGCTGAAAATATTGCGCGAGCTCTGAATCGATACATACCTATAAGATTTCTTATGAGAAAGAAGGTTTAGCGCGTGTAATATATGCGTACACATACGATTAATAATAATAATAATAATAATAATCCTGCACGCTGGAAAACGTGTGTGCGCGTCATATATATGCACGCACGTAATTATACATGTATATAAACGATGATGATCATGACGATTACAACTATAATTATTAATATAATTTTATCGAAATATGTTAACGATAGATATATATATATATTATAAATATTATCATTATTGCCGCTGCTGCTGCTATAAAGCTACTATCGCTACTCTTAGTTGTAAGTGAACTAAAACAAAAAAAAACGGTAAAATAAAGTAAGAAGGAGAAATACATTTATTGCAAAAAAAGAAAATCACGAGATGGTCGAATTAATTCGCTGATGTATCTGTGCCACGGATGACCTGGAACGGTCACCTGGGACAGGAAAAAATATGAGAAAAAAATTACAGGACTATCATTATCCCTATTATTATGGTTCGATGTCTATATTGTTATTAATTGAGATGGATGTCTGTTGAGATAGATAGTAAATTTAGCAGAACCCTGTACGAAATAGCGTAAGGTTAACGTATAACTCAAATATAGCACCGATTTATTAACTGTGAAACAAAATGAAAAATATGCCTGTTTTCAAGTAAGGGAAAAACAAATTAAGAGAGAGAGTAGCCTGTAACACGAGAAGTAGTCTTATTCAACAATTTCACCATTATTGTTACGTTCCGACCGATGTATAAATTGAAATATTTACTTCTTGTACGAATGTAAGAAAGTATTCGTTTCTACATAACGCAATTTTATCCTTCCTTTGAACCAACACTAATTTATTTAAGCGAGGAACCTATTTAAAAAGACTATACATACGTACGTATGTATATGTATAAACGCATACATGAATGTTGAACTAAGGATATACATGGGTAGATTATAAAATGCGTATAGAATATTTTATATCGATGTCATGTATAATATTCACACGGCCTTTGTTAAGTTTTAAACAAATTTTTACGATTAATGTCAAATATACACGTACATATACACATACAGACAGACACGCCTTTATAGAGAATAAATTGCGTTCGTTTATTGATGAATTATTATACATACAAACGAAGTAGAAACATCTTTCATGAACGATTAATTAACTAATTCGATTCTTCTGATCGCGAACGCAGCGTACGAATGCATACGAGATAATGAGATTCAAAATTCCAGCTTTTCAAGATTTCGTTCGAATCATTATACGTGTCGTAGAATATTTTGTCCGGGAGATGCTACGATTTTATAGACTTCAATTTGACTGTAATGTCATTTATGTTATTTATCATTCAAATTCAGTTCGTTGGAATTACGACACTTTGTCAGTCGCACTCTTCAAGATTTCCACAAAGTATTGTTTAAATTATGGTAATAAGGAAGTAAAAGTATTTAGTTTTTATTGTATTTTAAATACCTAGGTTGACTTAGGTGAATAACGCATATTGCTATATGGGGGATGAATAAAGATGGTCGTGACTCACAGCCACCGCAGCCACCTGTGGGGAGCATCGGTAAACGCTGTTTCGAGGTTAAGTGAGTTAAATTGAACAGTTTACGTTAAATGGACGCACCGAAGAATTTCCTGGATGCTGGTGCTGAATGTGGCCAATAGTCAATAGCATAACACGCGGTCATCCAGCATTCCAGACGTTTCAGCCAGAACTACCTGCGATCGTGTCAGATCGTATGCTAAACGATGAACGTATCTACGAGCACGACGGGTGAGAGCCAGGAAGATAAAATTCAGACAATTCTTCAGATTCTTAAAAAACAAATAGACCGGTACGATCTCGTAGATGATCTCGAAGATGCGAGGTCGAAAGGGGATTTACCGAGAAGCGAGAGGATCGAGCAACTGATGTTGGAAGAGAGGCGTTTGTCGGAGGCAAACGAAAAGATAAGGAAACAATTGAAACATTATGAGAAGAGGTACGAAAAGGCGTTGAAGAAGAAAGTAAAAGCGATGAAGATGCATCTCGAGGATGGCCAACAAAAATTGGAAGTTATAAAACAGCGGTGCCAAGAACTGGACAAGGCTCTGGACGCTAACCCGTACAAAGTAGGAAGAGCAAGGAAGACCGGGAAACAGCCGAAAGTGAACAAATCGGTAATAAAGGTGAGGACAATGAAACCGAAGCAGTTCAGACAGACGACTTTACCCATCACCAAACAGATCAAGATAAAAATAAGCAGAAACGAGGGCAACCGAGAGATGCATTTCGTTAACGAGAGTAACAGCACGGGTAACGGGCCACTTTCGAGGAACGCGTTCACTGATTTGGTCAAGATCGTACAGCCCGTGACCGTCAATACTCGCGAATGTAGGATTATGTTGCAGAGGCTAACAGAAGAACAAATGAAGCTGTATAAAAATCAGAAACAGCCCGATCAAACACCAAAGAAAAGAAAGCGACAGACTCCCCAGAAAGTTAACGAAGATAGGTTGAGCATAATTCAGCCAAAATGGCACATAAAAATACCGAAATCAGTATTCGAGGAGAGTCAGAGGGAAATCGTAGACACGAGTCTGGATCCAGTTACAGGCTCGAACGATACCATATGATTCGACACGTTTTTTGTTATCGTCGACGATATCAGTACCATTACATAGATTGATATTTTTCTTCCGTGGACAAATCGAAATCATATGCATTGATACATTGATATTACTTAAAAGTGAATTTCGTATTGTTTTACAAATCAGTTTAACCAAATGAATGTTTATAGTTTACGTTGGAAACAAGAGAACTACTTTTAAATACATATCTGCCCGTGTCATCTATTTTTGATAGTATAGGATACTTACCTAACTAACATTCTGAGGAATCATAAAGACTCGTGTTCATTTAAATTGTTAATATTTTAGTTTACGACTATAAGATGTTGAAAAAACGTTATTTTAATAAAAACTAAAAAATGAAGGAAACGTATTCGAATACAAATATGTGTAGAGACTATGAATATAAGAAAAACAAATTCTTATTATAGTTATGTTGCATTAACCAAAAGCTTGTTTTCGTCTTCTACTTGTTTTTCGTAAATGTTTATAAATTCGGTTTAAAGGCTATTATAGATAATAATAGCATACATTAATTTCAGACAAATACAAAACATTTTATACAATGACTGTAATCCATTTTAATTTTCACTTGGTTGGTGCCCGATAGAAATATTGAGACGTTCATCTTGTATTTTTTTATATTTTTACATGTGTGTCATGAGCGATGCCATGATTACAACTGTATTGTATGAGTTTAATCATATGTACTGATCAAAAACTTCTTGAGCTTAAAATACACTGTAGACTTGTAATTAATTTGTACTGTGAACAAAATATATATTTCGTAATAAAATTTAATAATATAATTTGAAATAAAATATATATTTTGAAAAGAATAAATGAATATCTGCGTTAACCTCGTCTACCTACCTGCTTCTGTTTTTTTAGTTCTTCGTGTTTGTCTCGCTGAACGCATTGTAATTTCTAATTTCTATCTCATGCAATTGACTAATTAGTCAGAATTCAAATTCTATCTTTCGCGGGAAGGTAGATTCGCGTCTAACCTCCAACCTCCTAATTTTACGTCCCGATTATAAGTGTATTATGGTGTATTATCAGAGAGAAAATTTCTCTCTGGTACCATCTCCTCCGAACTATTCTGAAAGGTGTTTGTAATCTTGAAAGTGAATGATAAAATTAAAGTAACAACGAAGATTGTTTCATTCCAATAGTATGGTTAAATCAGAGCTGAACAAGAGAGAGTTCTTTCCTCGAATCCAATATGCATTTCCTATTTTGTACGACAAGGTTCGTTTACGTACTTACTTGTAAATATGTAACAAGTTCCCTGATTTTAAAACGTGATTTAATCGATGTATAAACATATTTTTAGATTCAAAACGAATGTACAGATGAAGAATTCACTAATGTTGTTAAGGAAATAAAGTCCTTGGGTTTGACGCAGTTCGTTGAAGATGTAGTTATTTATCACATAGAATTACACATTCGACAAAATGTAGCACCTGCGTTTTGGAAGAATTTTACGATCACGGCTGATGAGCAAACAGGCTTTGAACATTTCAAAAGTGCCGTGGATGGATTGTATATGAGCCTGACAGAATTCTTACCATTGTTAAAGAGATTAGAATATCTAACTGAAATCGAGGCTAATCAAAGTACAACGAGTGGACACAATGTACTGAGCCAGTTTAAACTAATCGTGCGTTCCACGTTGTTAAGTCAGCTACCGTTGCGGTATGAACATATCATTGAACAATTCTATAGAATTGCGTTCAACGTGTTTTGTAATGCAGACAGCTCGACTCATGGTAAACGATGCTGTACGATATAACGCTAACATCTTTCAATTCTTCGTTTTAAATAATACATCATTTATTTAATAGTTAGCACTGGAAATGATTCGAACCAATGCATGGGCTGCTATCAAGAACTGGAGAAATGCCAGTGCCAGATGATAGTATTTATGTTTCACGAAACCAACAGAAAATTAATTGAATTAGAATTACTAGAGAGATTGGTTGGAAACGTTCTCACATCGTTGATACACATACGTATAAAAAATCACGTGAATCAGTCGTGTGACAAAACGTTTGATGTCTCGCAATTAACATCACTGGAAAACGTAAGACTGTCTTTATTACTAGTTTACATGGACATTGCAGTCGACCTAATGTCCAATTATTTACGTAAAGCTTAGACATCATAATTCATCTTTCAGTGGCTTGAAACAGTTGTTGTCAGTTGGTTGATACGAATATATTCCGGCGGCTTTTCAAAGATCGTATCCCTGAGCGATCAGACCCGTAACGCTATAGACAAATTTAAGCAAAAGCTGTCTCACTTCTTATATGAGACGTACACAAGATTCAGGATCGAACAACTCTTCGATATTATAATCGGTTAGTAACTTATTTATGTTAAGTATTACTGTCCGTGCGATACATAGTTCTGTTTTTCAGAGTATCCTGACTCTCAGCCTGCGATAGACGATTTACGTATTTGTCTGGAACGGACCGATTTACGAAAAGTATTGATAGAAAGTTTGCAAGAGGCTTTGAAAACGAGACTACTGCACCCAGGCGTCAACACTCCTGATATAATAACAGCTTACATAGCAGCTATAAGAGCGTTGAGACAACTGGACCCTACAGGTGTACTCCTTGAAACTATCACCGAGCCAATTAAGTAAGTGCCACGTAATACTTACATATCGGCATTGTATTTTATAATACTTTCGTACTAGAATTTATCTGAAAACGAGGGAGGATACTGTCCGTTGCGTTGTCAGCGATTTACTCGATGATTCACCGAGTGATTTGGCCGACGAGTTAGTTAAAGGAGAGTCGTTGCAATTAGACGATGGCTCCGGGGACGAAGAGAACGAAGATTGGGACAAATGGATGCCAGATCCGGTCGACGCTGATCCTGGTACGTTCGTCAAACGCACATCTCGTTTCAGTCCTTACATTTCGTACGGTGTTACATGGAATTTGAGCGTTCTTCGTTTCACAGCGAAATCAGCGCAGCGGAAGATGTCGGACATCATATCGATATTAGTGAACGTTTATGGAAGTCAAGATTTATTCGTGAACGAATATCGTACATTATTAGCGGATAGACTGTTGTCTCAATTGAATTATCATACAGAACGCGAGATTCGGCACTTGGAATTGTTAAAAAGGCGTTTCGGGGAGAACCAGCTTCATTATTGTGAAGTCATGTTGAAAGATGTGTACGATTCTAAACGGATCGACGGTCACATACAATCCGATGCTAATTACACTCTTGAGAAAGAACACTTCCCTACGTCCGCATTAATATTGTCGGCACAATTTTGGCCACCGTTCAAAGAAAATTGGAAGCTGGAATTACCGAAGGTCGTACAGAATCAGTTGAACAAGTACGTGAAAGCGTTCGAGACTTTAAAGGGTAACAGGACGCTCTGTTGGAAGCCGCATCTTGGAAACGTCACCTTAGAAATCGAATTGAAGGATAGAAAGGTGGAAATGAATGTGACGCCGATACACGCCACGATAATCTTACATTTTCAAGACAAAAAAGAGTGGACCCTGGAAGAGCTCGCGGAAGCGATGCATGCTCCCGCGACTGTGTTAAGAAGGAAAATAAGCTTTTGGGTTTCGCAGGGTTTGTTGAAAGAAATTTCTAACGACGTTTTCATACTGCAAGAAGAGAGCTCAACGAAAAACAGATCTCTGCCGGATATCGTCGAGGAGGAGGAAGTGGAGAGCGTGATGGCATCGGCGAGCGATCAAAGGGAAGAGGAGTTACAAGTGTTCTGGTCTTATATCGTCGGCATGTTGACTAACTTGGACTCGATGCCGCTGGAAAGGATTCATCAGATGTTGAAAATGTTCGCGTCTCAAGGGCCGGGAGCGATGGAATGCGGCCTGCCGGAATTGAGGCAGTTTCTCGATAGAAAAGTTCGTGAACATCAATTACTGTTCTCCGGTGGTTTATACCGTTTACCAAAATCATAACTCCAGCCAAAGGTGACTAGCATTCTTTGTTATTCAATTAATTTAATTCCGCGATGTGAGTACCTAAGATCGAGCTGTAAATATTCGCGAATATTTAATAAACTGTGGTAATTCTATAAAGTATAGTCTAACTAAATTGTCTATCATCCTTTAATTAATAACACTTTTACGCGTTCGCATTTCTTTAAATGTTACAAACGAATCGAATATTAAATTTTGACAAGAATCATGCGACTATCGCTACAAACGCAAATACAATATAAAGGCACATACACATATTTGTTTTTTTTTTCAATTAATTATTGCCACTGTACAACGAGTGATGTTTTACTTTTTTATTTCTCATCGATACACTTTTCTACTATTTTTTAAATAAACTTCTCAATGTAATACATTATATTGCGCGGTTGTTAAAATTAAATTAAATTTCCTGCGAGATGAACAAACATCAACTAGATAGCGTTTACGTAAATTATTGATCATTAATAATACTAATAAAAATACCATAACAAAAACAATTTTATAGGTATTAGTATTATTAATATGAACACGTTACCACAAACATTTTTCTGGTTTATTAATCGATAATTCTACTCACGTACACTCGATAGGTGAATGCGACGAAATAAGAATGAAATATTAGTGTTCACATTTTCGCTTTTTAAATATCAGATCGATATGCATTTTTTATATACATAAATTCCCAAAAAATTCTGTTCGTGTACTTTTTGCAACGTATTATGCATATAGGTATTAGTATTATTAATATGAACACGTTACCACAAACATTTTTCTGGTTTATTAATCGATAATTCTACTCACGTACACTCGATAGGTGAATGCGACGAAATAAGAATGAAATATTAGTGTTCACATTTTCGCTTTTTAAATATCAGATCGATATGCATTTTTTATATACATAAATTCCCAAAAAATTCTGTTCGTGTACTTTTTGCAACGTATTATGCGTACATACCTGCAGTTGTATAAGATTTAAAAAATATATAAGTTCTCATCTACATATAAACCATCAATGAATATCTGTGTAATCATTTGTTTAACAGTAAAAGGGAAAGTCAAAAAATAGATAGAATTTTCGCCGAGTTCACGGTGAGCATCGAATGAATTCGGCCTGAACGATCTCTCGATGATATCCAAAGGTGAAACATCTGTATGTGTAAGATCGAACATGATGCAAAGTATTTAATTACAGTGCGATTACGTTAGAATTATAAGTCACTTAGATGAGTACTAGGTAAATATAATCATCTATTATTGCACTAAACACACGGCAAATACGTTTTACGAATTTTCAACTTTCCCCGTTCTTACTCGACTCCACTAAATATATATATCTACCTATATCCTTCTATTTTACTTTCTCTCTTTTTTCTCCATTTGTATTAAAATATAATGGATAGACTACATCAAGCTATATAAACTTAAGTAGATTTCAGATCACTCTTAATACAATTACACGATCAAATACAATACCTATTTACACGAAAATAAGAATTATTTGTCCTTATGTAGCCGAAAGAAAATGAAGTTATATATTAATGCCTGTGAAAAAAAGTACAAGCGTAAATTACACGATTTGCTAGGTTATACACAAACGAACGTGATAGAAAGTTCTTGATTATTACATGTACATATGGCAAATTTAAAGAATCAACAAAATATTCTCTATCCGTCTAATTGATATATCGACTGATAAATAAATCAACCTCATATATAAACACTCATCTATATATAGATAACTTTGTTGTAACATTATAAATGTAGATGTATTGCAATTAACGAAAATGGTAGTAATTCGTTTTCCTTTAAACCTATTTAGTTGAATTATTATTGTCCACGAATTTTAAGAGTAGGACCGTCCTTGACGACGATCCCTCGGAACGATCGTTTTTTACATAAGAGAATCGACTTCGCTCGAACAATTATTATCTATTATTTTACAAATAAATTGCACCATAATGTCGTAATAGAATTTTCAAATTACAAAATAATAAAGTATTGTGTATATATATATATATATATCTCTGTTAAAGAGAGTAGAGATTCATCTTAGTCACGCAACAGACTCATATATGCATATATAATAATTAACGAGACATTATATATAAGAATTCTTAACACCTAATTAACATATTCAAATATTTTGATTTGATTAGTTTCTCTCGATCGCATTTAGAGTTCTAAGTCCCAAAGAAAACAGATGAAAATGATTAATTAAACATAATTGCTTCGATCGGTGAAGATTAGATTCTTAAAGATCGATGCTACCTTCGTGTTACATATTGCGATTCAACGTGCATTACTACAATCGATTAATATACATTAGTGTAAAATGATGAGTAAATATACGTTTCTGTTAACATTAAGAAGAAGAAGAACAAGAGAAATAAATTTAGATTTTCGACCCGCTTCGGTATCCTGAGCTCGGCTTCAATTTCGAATTTCACTTAAGAAATTCTACAAATATGCAATTTTGATTCTCTTATTGCACCCATTACGCGTCGATACTATTTCCCTAAGCTGCGTAAAACAGATGATATTACTTATAAATTTGCTTTTGCCCCTTCCTACGCACTCTGCCTATTTGTTATATCGATTCTATTTAAGGACGTAAGTACTGGAAACGTGATTAATACGTCTAATCACTATGTAGAGAACATTACCTTATTTTTCGCGATAATTGTTAATTTCAAACAGTGTACGATTCTAAAATAGACCTCCTTTCTTTAATATACAAATTGTTAACAGGTGTGATATAACAGAAAAATGAGATTCTCGCTGTGATTACGAATCAATTTGTAGAATCAACTTATACAATACCCTCAATGATCGTAAACACTTTTCGTCGGCTTAAAATAACCATTTCAATTATAAATATATAATATCATGAACGTAATACATTTACTTCATTGAATCAAGTACCTTCAGAGCATTTAAGTTTAATAAAAAATAAAAAAAAAAGAAAAATAAATGGTGAAGTATTAAAAACTCTTAAGGCATACCAAAGTATGGATATACGTATTTTATACCTACATTTGTTATATTATTTTAAGCGATGCCTTTCAATTGATTAATGGTCTCCCAGTTCAGTGAACGGGGGGCGATTTAAAGAGCAGATAATAAAAAGAGAAAGTAAATATGATAAAAGTAATTAAAATAATATCTACAACGAAAAAGAATATCACGTAATTTCATGAGTCGATCGATGCGCAGTTCACGCGCAAACATTTCAAAGTTCTACAACGACGAGTTATTGCTGAGTCGTTTTCAATGAATCACGATTATGTACAAATACTTAACGTGTTACAATCCACTATTTTCTGATTATATCACCCCTTGCGAAACGTGCGGAAAAATCTGTGCGATTACCTTAACAAATAAATAAGTTAGTAACCCGACGTTAAAAAAAAAAAAAGAAAGCGGACCTCCCTGTCGGGCAAAGACACACGTTGACTCGACAGCCGAGTAATTTTGTACTTACAGAAATGAAAGCTGATTATTAAGAGATTTAAGAAGAAACGAAACTGCTAGCGCGCGAATCGTGCGTTCAAACGCGTTCACCTCACGCGAATAAGAAAACTAAAGAAACGTTCTGAAACCGTTTGCATCGTAGAAAGTTGGAACGTGACATACGAGGATCGAAACGTTCTCGTCGATCGAACTAAGTAACTCGTAACGAAAAGTCTTAATAAAATTTACCTGTCCCGGCTGTGCCAGCGAACGCTGGATGAAAACGAGCGGAGAAACGCTAGCGAAACGAGGAGCAGTAAGCGGCTTAACAACGAGGCTGTACAATATTCGTTTTTAAAGTGACACGAAGAGGGTAAACAGGATGGATAAACTTGACGAAGAACAGGGCTGGTGATGCGAACGGCGAAGGTGGTCGTCTGGTTGGTGAACCGATCGAACGCGGATGTTGTTCCAATAGTCCAGGTGTTAGCACGGGGCGAGTGGATTCCATTGTTAGCACTCCAAGCCTATAGGCCATGGGCAACCAATGTTAAAAAGAAAGAAAAGAAAAAACAGTTTGTTAGTAATTTAATTATGATCGACTCGTGGTTAACATCAAGATTTCCAACAGTTTGATAGTCGATAGAAATGTAGTTAGTGGGAAGCAGCCTTCTCTTTCATCTACCATCTACATCTCTCAGTATTCTATAGTAATTAGACTGCGAATCTTTATACAAAATCGACACCGGATACATATTAAATGGGTAACAATTAGTTCTATGAACGTAGAAAAATTCGCAGTCCTCTCACCACTCAAGTTAATTTTCACATTTATACATTGCCAAAACTGATGAGACGATTAATGATTAACGAGCAACTGCTTCGCACTCCCTTTTCGAACAATATTAGTGCATAAGCATTTATTTCATATAAAACGTGATAGAGATATGATTTTCGTTTTACTGCTAATTGAAATCGGAAGCCCTCTAAATTATTATCATAGATCTTCGAGCATCGTGAATTTAGAATCTTGTCATTCGGTCAAAGTTTAGTTTGTCTGATTCGATTATGCTAATAATAAAATATCCCAAAGGTGATTTATTAAAAAGAGTATTCGATCGATCATTAGAGGGACAACAAGCTATGCGTTTTTGTTACAAGTTTCACATAATCATGTACCCTCCCCGCGCTTAGGACAGTCGGTAGGAGTTAAGTAACACGTAAAATCGTGTGTTTAAAAAAGTTCTGAAACGAGACGATTTTAACATACGACAAACGTGAAACGCAACAAGCAGCTTTTGAATATATAAAAAGATGAATTTTTAGTTGTTCAAAATACAAAAAAAAAGAATGCGAGGAGTACGTTATTTTCCCAAAGAAATTGTATCGTTCTCTCTTGTTTTTTAGGCAGCTTGGGTGTGCACCTGCCACCATATATTTATAGTAGCGTTAAACAAATGACATTATACGTTTGTATGGCATTAAACACGATAATTATTATTATTATTACTGTGAGAATTGTATTAACGATTAATTAAATAAATTCTCAGCAAGCTGGTGTCAAGTGGTAGGCGAAATGAATTTGTGCGCGCAGGAGACTTATCGTACAATCTCTGAAAGAAAAGCGTACGGTTATTAAAATACGTAGCGTTAAGTGTAATAGCGAAACATTTACAAAGGAGGATAAAAACCTAAAATGCGACGAGAAGGAAATGTCTAGATTCTAGCGACTGATCCCTTGCTTGCTTGCTTTCGAATTTCTATTTTCACAATCCGTGTATAAATTTCCGTTTGTTTAATACGAACAACGAACCCTCTATTATTTCACTATTTCAACGTTTGTTAACACATTTTTGTTAAGTCGGGATAACAAAATCTGTTGTCTTCTTCTACGTCTATCATCGTTATAAAGACTACACAAAGATATACTATAATGTGAATAGAAACATTGAGTTAGTGTCAACTTGGCCGTGTGGAGCATTTGTTTGTTAGTTTAAATAAAGACAACGCCATATATATCGTAGTTATAGATGACTCGTGTAAAAAGTGATAATCGCTCTATACTAGTAATAAATATGCTATTATAAAATATGCGTGGTGTTTGTTAGTGATGATACATAAGAAATAGGATAGGATGCATTTCTAGGATTAAATCCGTTTTACTGTTTCACTGCGACAGAGAATTCGTATAAAATTTAATGTTACTAGAGATATTGGCCGCGTCCTGAATAATAATGTACCAACGATTAAATTAGTCAAGCTTCTCCCCGAGGTCGGAGAGAGTTATTCAATTATTATTGTATGTACAGGCAAAATGTATCGGGTGTACAATGGTACTTCTAAATTTGCATACTCTCGTGCAATTTATTATTGAGTATTATCCTGGATTCGAATGGAACATCCGAAAAATTGTAAACTAATTCGTAGTCGTAGAAAGTATTCTGATTGTAGCCTTCGCATCGTATCGTAGTACCACCCCTGTCACATCTTCGTTAAAATAATAACAAACTACATACTTCTTCTGTATTCTTGGACGAATCGTTTATTTTTCAAATACCTAGGATCATACGACACGTACGCGTATCCACGCACGGGTACTCGTAGACGCACAAAGAAGGTGGACGTGATGGAATGAATAAGTGTTCCACAGGCACAAGTTGCCAAAATTCTCGACAATAATACTAAGTACAGTGTGATTAAAAGAAAAATAGAAAATAAAAAATACAGATACGCTCTAGGACTTAAATACTAGACGCATTTTGCGTTGTCTTTTTCCATTTCATCTGAGGTTTCAATTAATTGTGTAGCTTTACCATCTGCTTGTATCCTTCGACGGCGATGGTACTTTTACTTGATCGTTAATTTTAAAGCTAACGTAGTAATAAAAAGGATTCGTATAAAGCGAAATAAAGAATAATAATGGATAGGTGCGCACCCGTACCGTACCATAATATCTCTTATCGTTCACGACGGCGTAAGAACGATAGTTACGCGTCTTTATCTTTACACCTAATTGCGGGGAGTTAACATTACCTTGAAACTTTTCAACTTCAATGTGTAACAACTTGCAGTCGTTTTACTTCGAATACTGCCAATATCATAAATCAAATACTAGACAAAGAATATAAAATTTCAAGTATTTATAATCGTAAGATTCGAGATCTTTTGGACAGCAATTCAAATAATCTTGGAAAGTGACCTGAGTTCAAAAAATGTTGAGTCTATTTTATAGAAGATCGTATTTATGGACTATTTAGTTTCCTTGTATGCCTATGTTTTTCTATCTTTTTAAAATACGATGCCTCGTCGTCTATCAATTATAAGTTCAAATGATAATCACATTTTTATATGTACCGAAAAATCGGACCAACGCTGAAACCATGAATCTGTACTAGTTACATTCAGCCTTGGGAACAATGTGAGACTTGCAAGGTGAAAAGAAAATTGCCAAAATTTAAAGTATTATACAGATTCATGGCTTTCACGTAGTGGCAACGGTATACTCGCGGATACTGTAATAAAAAAAAAAAGTAAAAGAAGAGACTAGAATCGGGATAAGAGAGACAATAAAAGTGGAACCATTTCCGGAGAACTGACCTTTTCACGGAGTTGCGTAGGGTACCGTGACTACTACGCTCTCCGAATTCATGACAAGGCGCCAGCCCTCTGATAAGGGTGCTCGCGAATCTGGCCCAAGTGCCTACGTTGTTTCGCAGCGGCCGCTGCACCTGTCCCCAACATAGAAACGTGTATAATTCATCTGCTTCGTACAATTGTATTATCATAATCCATCTCCTCGGCTCGACCGCCGCTATAAACAATAATACCAGATTAAACTTGTCCGCTGAACGCGGCGCAGAACCCCACGATCGGCAAACCAATAGATACCATTCTCTTCTCCGTTCATTTCACTTCTAGACTACACAGCAATTGATCAGGATTTTTATTAGTTTGCGCGCCGATCGCGTGTTCTCAGAAAAAATATATGCACGCATGTACAGTTCACCATCAGCAAACAGTAAATACCACACGCGTGTACCACGGTTTAAAAGTTACACAGGTTCTATCAGTTGATCAAATATTAAAATAATTCTTCACAAATCTGCCTCGTTCTGTCATCTGTTTTTTTCTATATTCTATCAAAGTTCTGTCGGTTTCATTGTAATCCATGCATCCATACCGTTTGAAAAGAAATCGATTTTCTCTGCCACCTCATTTTCATGATCAGTTTTATAAACACTGAATTACGCTTGGATAGAACCGGATGCACGCATTACAAATATTCTTCCTTTACATTCCTTTCCTTATCATCTATCAAGATATACATTACATCGATACCTAATAAAGATATACATACATAGTAAATACAACAGAGAACTGTATTGCTATGGCTTATAAAACTTACGCTAAGACATGTAATCGATTGGTATTGCATTTAACAAGTTCGTTCGATAATATATTTACAGTATAAAAAATTTTGTAACGTCTAAAAATTTTTCTACGAGGTAGACCGAAGTAATTAATATTCCAAGTGGTATCCGCGGGCTTTGTACCGGGAATAAACAGTCCTTAACATTTACGCAATTCAATTAAGAGCCGTTTCTGTTTGTTCGTTTGTTAAACGTATATAAAGATCATTTAGAAGGCTAATTATTATATGCGTATAGAAGTATTCGCACACACATTTGGTCCCTGATCGATCTTAAAAATTAGCATCTCCGACGATACTAATTATTGAATACTTTTCAATTTGTAAAAATTTTATTCATAACTTTCAATCGAAGCTCTCTTTAGGTCATCCTTTGTAACGACCTGTTCAAGGAATTTTTGTTAATAACGATAAGATTAAAGAAATTGTCATTTATCGAAACCAAATGTTAGAAGATACATTCTTTGGCGTCACAATAAAAATCGTAATAAGTTACCTTGTAATAAATTAATTTCCCGATCTAAAAGAATTATTAATGCAACGAATGCAGTTTACTAATACGGCGCTATAGAACCAAATATGCATGTATAGAAATTGAACACCGAATGTCTGTAAACTATATTTCCCATAAATTTAATAAGCGTGCGTTTAACGTTCGTTTATTTATATCTTAAAGATCTAATAAATAGTAATATCATATATGTATAAATATGTAAGAAATGGCCTTACTCTTGACTTAAGATATTTTTCACTTTTCAAATGCGTTCGCTACTAACAATTAAAAGTCATTTGACAGTTTTTCTTTTAAAAAGATCTTAGAATACTTCACGACTGAAATCAAGCTAATTTCTCGTTTGTAATTATTCGAGTTAAACTCGGATGAGACTACTGCGATTTACAATTGGTACAAATTGATTATTTGTACACTGATACTTTATTCAAACGTTTCATATTCTTATTTTTACTGCGGTGGACGAATTACTTTAATATCGTTCAACGTTAAAACTGGGTTTCCTCGGACAGTCAAGAGGATTTAATTAAATACATGTAAAACTTGAATCGAAGATTCTGCAAATGAGTGACTAAAAGCAGGTATTGCTCTTACGAGAAATTTGCTTATTTCTTAGTCCATAAATTATATTAATATCTGCATTTATATTAAAATAATAACAATAAATAATATTTGATTGCTTCGTTAAATATGCGTATAATAATCAATATATGGCAATGCACCACAGAATCGAACATACAGACGTGTCCACGCGTGCACATTCGTTCCTTCTTTATGTCTCTTTAAATAATACAAATAAAATATGTGCCATGTCACGAAGCGCGATATGTTCAAAAAATGAAATATTCCTGATGTATCTTAAAGGAGCAGATTCGAACTATGAAAACGAGAAATAAATTTTCAGTTTGCTTATGTATGTACAATTGATTCAAATAGGATTCGTGTGACACATCGTAGATTAGATAGTATTGTAGATAGTTAGTTCATTTTTCAAACATATCACGCCTATTGAACACATTAATCATCTATAATATGTAAACGGTAACGAATGTATAAGTGCATGAGTCGTCATACGATGACCGAGTATTTCATTCACAAAGAGAAGAGTTCGTCTTTCCCTCTATTCGATACGATCGCGCAGCGTGTACATAATATATATACTATACAAGGTGTTATATTATAAATGTTGTTATATTAAAAATGTTAGATCCGAAAAGGGGTACTTCTGGAGATATTTCTGGACAACAATTTCCTTTGCCAAAATACAAAGTGAATCATGCATTTTGCCAAAGGAAATTGTTGTTCAGAAACACATCCAGAATCACCCCTTTTCGGCTCTAACACTTTTTCTCGGACACCCTGTATACAACATACGTACATATGCAAATCGACTTCTTAATATTTATCTCGATAGCTTAAATACTGCGTGTATGTACTAAGAATCTTGCTCGTTCGAATAACGACCGATGAACTGTAAGGAACAGCAAAGCGTCCCGAATGATTTAAGTCGGATCTCACGCGATCAAGATTACTACGATAAACTTTGAACGAGATAAACACGATATAAATTATATTTCTTTCCCTTTTCAATTATATACTGTATGATTCAATAAACTGGTAATATTACACGCGAATAGATTTTATAATTCTATTCAACAACATAAAAAAACTTTAACAGTAAAAATTGAATAAATATACAACATAAACTTTTCTCTTTTTTCTTTTAAAAAATACCTAAGTCCTTCACCGTGTTCGACGGTAGAAGAGAAAATAGTCGCGGACCGTGTATATAAAATAAATAAGTATCTCTGACATTGCTACTTAAAAATATACATCGTCGACGTTATTAAAAATCGTAATATCATACCGACGAACTATCCGAACATTTTAAAAGGAAGATCTAAATTTCCAATACTTTTCTTTCATATATGTATACAGGGTGTCCTAAAAAAGTATTAGAGCCGAAGAAAGGTGAATCTGAGTGCTTCTGAACAACAATTTCCTTTGCCAAAATGCAAAGTGAAGCATGGTTTTTAAATTATTAACGAAAAGCGCTGACCAATAAGAGCGCGTGTAGGGCCCGCGCTCGGCCACGGCAATGGTGGCTCGTACCGTAGCGCTCGGCCGTTGGTCAGCGCAGGCCTTACGCGCGCTCTCATTGGTCAGTGTTTTTCATTAATAATTAAAAAACCGTGCCTCACTTTGCATTTTACTAGAGGAAATTGTTGTTCAGAATCACCCTTTTTTGGCTCTAACACTTTTTCTGGGACGCTCTGTATATCGAACTATGTATTATAGTAATTAAGCGTTTTCTAATTTCGAGCTACCTACTCTTTCGCAGAAGTCCGAAGTTTTCCCGTTCGCGACAGAGTCTGTCGCTTTAGAAATGCGAGTTACAATATCATCGAGCGTGACCATCGTTAAATAATTATCAAAACTGATACGACTAGCAAATGACTGATGCGTGACTCTTTTAATATAAAACGTTCAATGTCATATATAATATAAAAAAAAAAATAATACCATCTAATACTATTACCTGAAATTGTTATCGAGTTCCCGATTCATTTTACTCCTTTTTAAAATCAATATGCGGTTCGTGCGAACGTTATTATGCTTCTGCTACGTTTGAACAGGTAATGAGAAGGAAAGAGTAACAAAACGGAATTGAACATAATCGCGATAACGAGAACAGCAATAATATTAATGATATTAAAAGGTAATCCGTAATTATTATAATATTAACGTAGATAGAAATTAAAAAAAAAGAATTATAATAGCGATGGTGATGGCGTTGCAGTAAGA